CTTATTTTAGAAAATTAAACCCATTTTATCGTTAAGCTAACTATCGAGTTGGGGTGGTACTGCAACTCAATCTATGTGCATCTATGAATCATACAACTCCATAAGCCTTTTATATTTTTATATTGATGTCGACATTAAAAATAGTCTATAAAAGAGTAAGATATTGAATATATTGAATTTCTTGCAAGACCAACTAATCTCTATAATATATTGTCTCAATTTTCATTTTTTTTTCTTAAAAAATATTTGAAAACTCTGAGCAAAGCAAAACATTTAATTTGTCCTACCCTTTGTTGGTTTAAAAACATTTTCCTCTTTAAAATTTAAAGACTAGGTCACCTTATTTAAAAATTGCAATCATACTAATTAAAGAAAATTAATATTAACTAATATCAATATAAAATACATAGTAAATCACATTAGTTACTAACCATAAATAGTACAATTCATTTTCCAGAGTTGATGCAAAGCGTGGAAACGAAAGTCCTACCTCGCTATTACTTCTTATATTTACCACCAGCATAAGGGGGGAAAAAAACCACCACGTTTATATTTAACTAGTAACATCACCCCCAAAAATTAAAATAATTACTTTCTCAATCTTTAATATTAACATCATCTATATCAAGTATAAATTAAATACATATCAAACCAATATTAATATTCAATATACAGTATAAAATACCCATAAAATCTTATATTATTCATACCCAATGAAGTCGCTCGTGAAAATATTGGGAAAATGTGCTTAGTATGTTTTAAAATGATGTATCATGTATTATAGATATTTTAAGTCAAGAATTAATTTTCATTAATTTTATTTACAGCCTTGAATAATTCTGACATGTTGCATGTGTATGCTTGATTCATTCTTTTCTTTGTTTTTTTTTTTTTGGCCTGATCTTGATTCATTCTTTCAACCTTTAGACAAAATCCAACATTTTACCTGATCAATAATATATAATCCTTGACAAAGTAAAGAAACTACATAAATATGACAGCCTATCTCTGCGCCCACATCTGATTCCAAAATTCTCATTACCAAATGTTGACTTTGACCTCATTCCCACGCACATCCTTTCTTCTACTAATTAATTCCCTTGGTTCTATCTTTTTCTCATATTTTGCTACTATCTGAATCTGATTGCGTCGTTCATGAGGAAAAAAAAATCAAATAATACATTACTTGAAAGATTAAAAAAATAAAAAAAATGGATTTTACAATGTCATATCTATTGTGTTACTTTTTTTCCGGATTCATAAATTAAATGAATCTAATTTGCACTCGTTGCAATTTTATTGTTACGATTAATTATTTGTAATTAAGAAAAATGTATCTTAATCAATATTCATCATAAATGGTTGTATCGGGTTTTCCCACCCCTGTGTTATTTCTAGTGAAATAATATTGTCGGGACTTTTACTTGATATTTTGTCAAAAAAAAATCATAAATAACAAAAAAAAAACATAATTATACGATACTTTAGTTTAATCATAATTTGATATAGCTTTTTTTGAAAAGGAAAAGATGAGATGAACTTAAATCAAGTTATATATACAATGATCAAGAGATATTTCGTTTAACTGGTTAAGAAAGTTGAATTAACCTATCTTAAAATTTTAAATTTGAATACTAAAATATACAATCGTGTTAAATATATATGTCCCAAACGTCCTCCAGATATCTGTGAGACCAACGCAGGTGATAATAGTTTGAATGGAAAGCAGTAATACGTCCAAATTTCACAGGATACGTGAGTGATGGAATAAACAAAAGTTATATACACAGTGACTCCATCACCTGGGATTCTTCGGTCTACTTATATTCAGACCCTCTCAATCCCATAAATCTCTTGCAAGGCGAATGTCCAGTGGATCAACCATCAAGGGCTGATAATTCGGAGATAAGGGACCTTATTTATGTTGATTGGGAAGTCCACATTCTGATCTCTCCAAGACACCTGATTGGTTGTGCGGATTATCTAGCTCGTGATGCCTATGGATCTGATTTTGTTACTGAGCTGGTTTCGACGATCCCCCCTGGATGTGAATCTCTTTATTGGAAACAAAGGCAATCTGCGCCTGCACATTAGTATTTTTCTGATCCTTTTGTAATTTTTCTTTCCTTTTTCAAGCTGTGCTTGCCTTTCCATTGTGAAAAACAAAAACAAAAAAATACTGACTCCATCCCCTATAATTTATAATTAAATTTGAATTTTTTTAAAAAAAGTTATCTCTAACCTAACCCTTTCTTATAAGAAAAAAAAAAAACTCATATATTTACACTTACACAAGCATGTCAACACCATGTTTAAATTTGAGACCTCTTCCAATTAATGGAAGTGACACTACTATTGAAATAGTAATTTATTAATAATTAAATTTGATGTTTACATCAAGGTATGTCAAACCAGACTGATCATTGAATCGATTATGGCATTAGGTCATGGGTTAATGGTTTAATCAAGGTTGAATCGGAGATTAAACTGGTTATAATTAAAATAATATAATTTAAATAAGAAGACATTAATTATAAAAACACTCAACTAAATCCAACCACTTAAAATTTAACAATAATAAAATATAACATTTTAAATATCTATTTTTATAATTATAACACTTCAATTATTAAAAAGTCTAAAACTAATATTCATCAACACCAAAGTCATCATTAACTTCATTTAAATCTCCAGAGATATTATGAGTTGAATGAAAAAAACAGAACCACTAGCAACATTATTTAGGCAAAGATGGGGGCTCTAGAATATTCATGAATTCATCACCTATAACAAACAAAAATTAATACTAATAAATGACATTTCAAGAAATTCATATACTTATATGAGACATGATAATAGATGTAATAAACCTTCATGATCCCTCTCAAGAGTTGATGGAGCAGCTGTGGTTTCATTGTGAATGGCATTTTCAAGATTTGCAATATTTTGATAATCAAACAACATGATTTTGGGAGCTTTGTGAACAAAAAATAATAATCCAACCAACTTATCAACCCCTTGAGTTATCTTGGGTTAACTATAAGTTGATTGGATTACATCGGATCAACCATTGATTGGGTTAGATGAAAACCTAAACCAAAAAAGAAATTGGGTCACCGATTTATGAGTTGACCTGACTGATTTGGTGTGGGTTTCCATAACATGATTTACATACATAGTGAAAATAAAATTGTCAATTGAAAAAAAGTATTCAACAAATTCCAATGGTAACATACAAAATATAATGATTATATTTAGATTTAATGAACGGCCAATCCAATAATAAGCAACAAAGAGTTCACGCCAACTATACAACTATAGTATTAAAAACTGTATTAATCTAATTGATTGAATTAGTACATATTAAATTAATAATTTGACTAATTCAATAAAATATTTTACTTATAACAAGTTTCATCATGATTCACCTCTTAACTTTTGAATTAATACTTTAAATAGTTCAATAATCAATCAAATTTTAAGTACTTTGATAAACTCAATAAAATTAATGAAACGTGCATTTTAGTTCATGAAATTTGAAGCATTTGTTTAATTGCGAACATATGATGACCAAAAGAAAAGGCTGGGTCTGCATAAAGGAATTGCGGCGGAAATCTCAATGTTCAAAGGACATTGTCGGCATTAGAAGATTGGTATCCATATACAGACAGTAAATAGCATGTTCAAAGAAGAAATCATAACCGTTGCTCCAAGATTTACAGCACTTTCATTGCTAAAGTTGAGATATGATTCTCTTCACAAAAGTCAAAACGTCCTGACCTAACCTAGAAACTTTGGAAAGAAGACTCAGATATCAAATTCCAAATAATCAAAAAAGCAGTCGTGTATGTTCTAACCTACCAGTTTTTGATTGTGAAGGGAAACTTCATTCATCCGAAAACAAAAGCACATAGTCCGAAAGAGAAAAAACAAACCAAACAAGAAGACAAAGACCAAATACCACTCAAAAACTACCTAGCAGGTGGTTGGTTGAAAAGATTATAATAATAATAATAATAACAATAATAATAATAATAAAAGCTTATGAGCCAATGTGGTAAGATGATCTGTCATATAGTTTTTCTCTCTACATATAAAATTTAAATAAATAATCTACTTTTTATACAGAAATCTCCTTGTTATTTCAATGATTTTCTTCAAAAGATGATGACTGTAGTTGTCTTTTATAATCAGCGATATAGTATATGTACAATCACAAAAACCTTACACAGACCTGAATTCTTTTTGCTAACAAATCTCAAGACCCTTAAAGATACCATAAATCTCAATAATGATGGCGGGAAGATACCTTAGCTTACAGTTGAAGCCCTGGATCTAATGTCCACTTGCAATTCACGAGTACCAAATCAAAGAAACTACTTCGTAAAAGTTCATGAGTGGCTCTCCACCCAAGTTGTTTCGTCAAACAAGAAATCTACTATTGTTAAAAATTTAAAAAAAAAAAATCAACAAACTCTAGCATAATTGGTATATGGTTGAATTTTGTTAACTATGTTAACTGTCGATCCCTAACTGTGTATGAAAAAGATTTTTCTTTTTTGGCCAAAGTATGAAAAGATTTTGTTGAAAGAAACAAAGCTCACTTCTCTTAGTATGCATTTGGATTCACTCACGCTTATATTTCAAAAGTAGATTTTAACTTTTCAAAAGTGAAATGTTGTTTGGGTCTCTTTTTCAGATAAAATGTGCTTTTAAAATTAGGTTTCAGATACATTTGAAACGGAAAATTAAAAGGGATTGGTCGTTGGCTCTCAGTTGAGGACACCCCTGGCACCCAAAAAAAAAAAAAAAGCTTTTCTTGTTTTTTATTATTTTTTTCCTCGAATTGCAGCTGAGCAAGGTTAACTGTAAAGATGAACAAGAAGTTTTTAACAAGCTTTTGGTCTGCATATGATGCATCTTCAGTATACATATGTATAGCCTTTAAAGAATATCCAACATGGAGCGACAAGATTCTATACTAGCGATGCTATCCAAAATGGTTAAATGAGATTTCATCAGCAAATTACATTGAATCTCAAAGCACAAGGAACTATATAAAGTTCTTGTCAAAGTTATTTCTTTTACGTAAGCACTATATCTTTGATGAATCTTGCCGTCACATTCAACTTGAAAATTTCGCCATTTCCTCTACCAATAATCCAGACATGAACAAGAACCATCCTTGAAATGGTGAAAACGGGTAGCATCTCTTACTATAATCTCTCTGGATACAAGCCTAGATATATATTTTATGGCAGAATGGCAATCACTACAAACTCTAAGATTCTTCATGATCCTCAGTGTAGTGTTCTCTGGAGTATTTATTAATGCAAATGCAATAGCAAGTTTTTCACTATGATGTCTAAGGATCTGTTCCTTGACCTCTTGCTCAAGATCATGTAACACAGAATCAGTATCCGGAGTGAAGCCCATTTTCTTTATCTCCTCCCATATTTTTGAAATCATGTTGTAGATAGCATCTTTCTGTGGGTGAAGCCCATCTTCAACCCCAAAGACATGGACTTTGTTCTGGATTTGTACCCAACTAAACCCTTGTTCTTTTTTCACTGCATTATCCTTCATTGACTTTCTAACTTTTGCAGCTTCTTGCCACTTCCCAGAGGCTGAAAATGTATTAGCAAGCGCTGCGTAAGCCCCACTATTGTTAGGATCAATAAGAAGCAACTTTTCAGCTGCCACTTTAGCCAAATCCACTTTTTTATGAACCCTGCATGAAGCCAAAAGAGAACCCCAAGCTATATGATCGGGTTCAATAGGCATATTTTTAATAAAATTATAGGCTTCTTCAAGCAATCCAGCACGTCCTAAGAGGTCAACCATGCATGCATAATGGCTATGGGTGGGCTCAATATGATGAATGGTTTTCATCAAATTAAAATAGCCCTTACCTTGTTCCACCAAACCCACATGTGTGCAGGCAGATAGCACACCAACAAAAGTGATGTGATCGGGCTTTATATTAAATTTCACCATTTTTTCAAACAGTTCTATGGCCTCTTTTCCAAGACCATGCTGAGCTAGAGCTATAATCATGGAAGTCCACGACACCGTATCCCTGTTGCAGCATATTTGTTTAAACACTTGCCTTGCATCTTTCACACTTCCTGCTCTTGAATACATGGTAATCAAAGCATTACCAACAGAAATTGATGATGCTTCACCTGATCTTATGGTAGTGGCATGAACTTGCTTACCAAGATCCAGCGAAGCCAAGCTCGAAATAACACTTAATATGGCAGCAACAGTATAGCTGTTTGGCTTCGGACCTTCGCCAATCATTGATCTGAAGAGCTCTAAAGCATTGCTTATTAAGCCGTTCTGCACATAGCCAACGATCATAGCTGTCCATGCAACTACATCAAGGCCTTTCATAGAATCAAATATCTCTCTCGCTGGCTTTACATCCCCAATTTTGACATAGCCATCCAATAAGGATGTAAAAGCTATAACGTTGATCCTCGAAGTACTAGTTAATTCAACAATTCTTTGAGAAAATTCAATGCCACCTGATTTTGCATACATTGAGATTAACGCATTTATCACCATCTCAGTGACATGCATATCATTTCTTATTATATGTGCATGGATTTGCTTTCCAAATTTCAAGTTTTCAAGATTGGCACAAGCTGATAATATACTAGACAAAGTGAAATTATCTGGCTTCAAGGCAGAACTCTTGATCATATAAGAGAAGGTTTCAAGAGCTTCTATGTCAAAACCCCATCGATTGTATCCAGAGATGACTGAATTCCAGGACACAACATCACGCTCAGTCATTTGCTCAAAAAGAGAAATAGCAAGGTCAAGTCGACCAAATTGTATATACATTGAAATCAAATTATTCCAACTAGATGTGTTTTTCAGACTCATCCTGTCAAAAATAACCTTTGCTGTGATTGAATCTCCTGACTTTGCATACATATTAAGTAAGGAATTGGCTACAGGAAGGACACTGGAGACCCCAAGTTTCAGAACAAAGGAGTGAACCTTCCTACCAATATCTAAGGCTTCAATTGCAGCACATGAGGAAAGAACATTTGTAAATGTGAACTGAGTTGGCAAAATTCTATCTGAAATCATCCTCAGAAACAGCTGAATTGCGTTATTAAAAAGACCCATCCGGTTAAAACCCACTATCATGGTAGTCCATGAAACAGAATCACGGTTAGGAATTTCATCAAAAACATGATGTGCAGCTTCTATGTTGCCTCCTTTGACTAATGCTGAGAGAATTGTATTCCAAGAGAATGTACTCTTCACTGACATTTCATTGAACAGAAGGTGAGCATCAGAGACAGACCCAGTTTTGGCATAGAAGTTAACAAGATTGTTCATCAAGAAGATGCCAAGGTAAAGCCCTTCTTTGATGACTCGAGCATGAACTAATCTTCCAATGAAGAGGTCTCTGGATTTGATGCCTGCTTGGAGGAGATAGACATAGAAATCTGAACGGGAAGCAGCAATATGTGGGTTTGGGTTCTCCATCACCACACCCACAAATTTCAAATCGTTGAGAAATTGATAAACTCACTCTGAGACTTGAAAGCATCTAGCAACAAAAGAGACAGGCATGATGAAATATAAATGCATCTAAAATATTAAAATAAAATCTCAATTTACCAACTTGTGACATACTGCCAAGAAAATTTGTACAATATCACTAACCTTAAGTTTGCATTTTCATGGATTGTGAAGTATACTCCATTTATAACTCAGGTTACTGCATCAAAGGAATAACCCTTTTTATTTAAATTTTAAATATTTTGTTTTTTAATAACTAATTAGGCACCTAAACTCCACAAATTGTAATTTACGTTTTTTTTTTACCCTTCTAATAAATCTTAAAAAAAAAAATATTCTTAACCATGCTCTGATGCCATTCAAGGAATTTTGTTGTCGAGGGACTTCAACTAAGTTGTGGTGAAAGTTTGTTCTGATCCAGAACAAGGGGCAAACCGGTATCTTATACCCAAACCTTTGCAACCAAAACCAATCACTTATTTGCAAAATTTTGACTAAGTTATTTGGCCTCAATACAAGACCTTATTAAATTAAGAACGTATTCAACTATAATAAATGTTCACCTTCAATTGTTAGACCATCGACCACAACTCTCAAATTCTAAACCTATGATGAATACAGAAAACCTCCATAATGCATACCATTCACTCATTCAGTATAATCCTACCACTTTACATTAGTTCCAACATTAATTCAACACCAGTATACTACCAATTAGTGCGATATGGAAGCAAAACTGTAGATTCGCTACACCATCCAAGATAGGGTGACAAAACTCATAAACAAATCACAAGTTAAATTTGCTTCTTAGATCCCTTCCATCAAGTAAACACAATACACAGTATAACAATAGCACTACCTTTCAACTCTGATCATCAACAATGGGTCTTTTACCTTTGACCATATCTCAACTACAAAAGTAAACATATCAAAAGCAGTAAGTTATTTACAAACATCACATGTACGGTGTAGAAAGTATATACACCCAAAACCCAATATATATATATACATACATTTTACACTGGCCACAGCTTGGCCACACGAAGTCTACTTCACTTGTCCCTTTCCAGATGAAGCCTCACCTGTAGATAAAAGATATCCCACAACAGGATGAGCCTAAAAGTCTGATAGAGCCCAACTCTAAAATTAAATGCACAACAGAAAGCTATAATAGCAAGCCAATGATGAGGGAAATGCTGAGGTTTTGCTATTAATGACTGAATAACCAAATCAGTGTTACAAAATGGCTTTCACTGATTCTGGCCAAAACCCTATTCCCTAACAAGTACTAAGAATATAAGAACAAAATACTGAAACAGTCCCTAGCTGGTGTTCGAGAGACCAGGACTCTCCTCACTTCCGTCTTCATTCTAAAACATTCTGTCTGAGTCCCTCCCAAAACAAAGTAAAACATTAAAGCAGCCCAAAAGGTAACTCTAGCATCTGAACTAAGTCTATAGCCACTCTACAAGCATCATTACTTACTCCCGATTATCAGGAACCTTAGGACAATAGCCTTGAACTGCTGGATCTTTCCTCTTTGACCCCTGTCTCCCCCTCAATTTCCTCTCACATGTTTTGATAAATTTTCCAGCTCTATCAAAGTCCTATCAACATACATGTCCTTCCAGTTATGTAATCATGCAAACGCTCAGTACTAAAAAATCAAACCACTCATAGTTCACCAAAAAAAAAATAAATAAATAAACTTGCCGTTATTTGTAAGATTAGCACACACGGTAGAAGAGAGATATACTATCTCAACCCAAATTCAATTACCATCAGTCATCCATGGGAAGGAACATCTTCCTTAGTCCTTACCCTCGCTCAAGCACATACCGGTATCACAACATTGAAGGTCCATGAGGAGGCTCAGCCTACAACCCAGACATCAATAAGCAGTCAAGTAAACTACATATTGTAGTCATGCGCACAACATGTCATGAACAATAATAAAATATTGGCCACGATTTTATTCCTAAGTACCAATATAAAAGGAAAGACAAAACCATTACCTTAATGAGACTTATTTAATCACCCCAGTACAATAGTCACAACGCAACAAAGAAAGTCCGTTCCAATTTTTTTTTTTTTTTTGGGGGGGTGTTAGTGGCGATCAGATCCAATTTTTTCTCTTTCAAAACACATTTGAAGCACACAATATGAAAGAACCATATCAATAACATGTTAATCCGGGTTAGCAACTTAATTAGGCAACAATACCAACTCTTGAATGTGCATAGCCCGCTCCATTTCATCAGCTCAAAAACAAAGCAAAACAGCCCCCAGACATAGACCAAAATTCCATCACATTGAATAACTCATATTTACCTAAAAATGTTTCGCATACAGAGCTAGGTTTCTCAGCCCTTCAAGAGCTAAAATTTTTTGCACACCAAAATCCATGAATTCAATTTGTATAGCTTAATTTAATCAGCGCAATCAACACAATTCCCAATCCAATAATTCAAGTCCAATAAAAAGGTAATTTACCTTATGTTCTTCCTATTCCCCCCACTCACTCATTCATTCAATATCTTAAACTTACTTTGCTGTCAGTTTAGCACCCATTTCTGTCGTTATAGAACAACTCATGGGGTCACGGTTATTTTTATTCAACAACCAAACTTGAATCCTAAAAAGGTGGGAGGTTACCTCAAAATTCAGCAACACAATTATCAAGCGATTTTGTCTTCAGATTCCACCAAAAATCCCATCTTCCTTCTTAATGCCACAGTAGCAGCCCATATATAGAGTAGAGCAAACGCAAATAAGAATGCAGATGATATGCCTCAACCGAGACTTTCATATTTTATGACACATAGAATGCCTCTTGCCTTCAGTTTATGCCACTTGCTACACCCACACTCTGCACTTGAAATTTATGAAGGACGTCTAAAGCTTTGCTTCTTAATTCGACCACATGCAAGGAGAAATTGTTGATAGAGCCACGGCAAGCGTTTGGGCGCTGTCTCCCCGCTTTTTGTGCGTCGACCAGGGAAAGCGTGGTCGTCGTCTTCTTTTTGCCAAAAGCAGGAGCCTGCAGGTCACACTAGTCAGGTTTACGGCGAAAACCGAAAGCAAAGCAAAAGGGTATCCGTTTACGGGGCTCATTAAAGTAATTTTTCCCTTTGGTTTCATAATTATACTTTATCCCAAAATTTATGTTAAAAACTATCAACTAATGATTGGATAATTTGCTGACCCAGTAATTCTGCAAATAATTTTCCAAACGTCAAGTTTGTTTAAAACATCAGAATTTCTTACTTATAAACTCAACGAAGGCGGAGCCAGAATTTTTTTTTTTTAAAAGAGGTCGGGAGAAAAAAATATATGTAATAATTAAAATAAAGTTAAATTTATAATATATCACTGATGTAATATAAATATTTTAATATATACATTTATATTTAATTTTACACATATATAACAATATATTTATTTATTTATTTTTTAAATTTTACTCATCAATTTTTCAGAGCACAAAAATCATAAGTTTATGATTTACTGTTTAATTCTTTCAATTAATAATTGTAGTTAATAAGTATATCAACATAGTGTTAATAATTGTAGTTTGGATACTGAAATTAATTTTAGTTGTATAAATTATCATAAAGGACATTGCTTTTCAAAATTAAATTATTGATAAAGTTATATTTAATATTATTAAATTTGTTAAACTTTATTTAAGAAGTAAAATATATAATTTAACAGTAAAATTGAATCTATAAACAACCTCTTTAGAATTTATTTCAAAATGTGATTATAGCATAGTAATCAATTATCAACTTTTTGTTGCTATTTGAGTAATTTTTCTAAAAATTGATTATTTGGGTCCAAAATCGATTATAATGTCAATTCAAACAGGCTGAAAAGCTTTGTTTTTTAGGCAGTGAGGTTCGGGAACCTACCTGACTTGTTAGAGGCTGATCTTGATGGCTCTCTTTCCTGGATACGATCCAATAAATGAAAATTACAGTAAGAGGTATTTGAACTGATGAGAGAATCCAATATACCACCCCGCACGGCTCCATTGGAATTATACTCTGCACATAGTTCATCATTTTCGAAACATGTAAGATTCAAAGTAGTTCCAATGGCATTTAACGATCAACTTCACTAAAACAATGTTCATCTGTTTTTGTTTCCAAACATGTTATTAGAAGTATCATGCATCAGCTGATTAATCGCATGTATTTGAGTATTTTTACTGCGTGAGTTTGTTCTTCGTGAATAAAGAATGGTGCAGAACCTATGCCAACTAACCATTTGCACTAGCACGCTTCAGAGATTTTAAAATATAAAATGAAACATTTTAAAAGAAGGATTAATTATGCTATTTCGAAGGTCCTTTATTAAAATTTTGTAAATTTTTTGTCACTCTCTATTTCAATTGATTAAATTAAAAAAATAAATAAAAAGAAGTGCTCGTTGGCTTGGATTCCTCAGGGCACAAGAAGACGCCAAATTAATCAAATAATATTTAACTTTGGAGAATTCTTTCTTTCTTTTTATACAATTAAAAAGAATGATAGTTTGCTTGTCTCATTCTTCAAATACAACAAGGGAGTGAAAAAAAAAATGTACACTTTGCTTTGTCAAACCTTCTTTTAAGAAAATAAAATTTCATTTTGAGAGACATTATGGAGTTTAACTTCATTAGCCCCCCACTTTCAATGTTTTTGTTCTTATGCTGTAATTTTCCGATTCTATTCCCTGAATCAATTCGGTGCTTGCCACACAATCCATTGATATTTACATAATTGATTTTTGCGAAAAAAAATACGATATATAATAACAAGAGAGAAGAGGAGAATATTCTGAAGAATGATCTGGAAAGAAAAGAGAAAATATCATGTAAGGATTCGTGAGATAATTTAACATAAAAAAATTAAAAGATTATAAAATATTACTACAAAACAAGGGATTGATTTTAAAAAATATAAAAAAATTATAATACCCTTACTTCTTTTAATAAATAAGTAGCCATTTGTTATTAATAAGTATCCATTCATATTTAATAAAAAATTATTCACTAATTAATAAGTTTAAAAACTTGGAAGAGCTTAGTTGTAGGAAAAAAGAAGTGTGGATCATGTTTCAATTAATAATTGTAGTTAATAAGTATATCAACATAGTAATGATGCTCGATTGTCACAAAATATTTATGTTGATGAAATCAAATTATATTAGATTAAAAACCATTCACATAATAAATTTTAATAACTTGATTATTTAAAAAGTAATTTTTTAAAAAAATATCTTAACTATAGTCTTTTAACTTTTGCATAGGTGATTTTATTGTAGATGTCAAGCATATAGCAATTAATATATATTTAATTTTTTATTGCAATGTTTGACAAAATTTATTAATAATAATAATAATCATAATTTCTTTCATCAAATATTAAACGAAAGCAAAATAAAATGACATCAATATTTTAAGAATATGTGTAATATTATTTTGTTGAAAATAAACATATCCCTTGACAATTATAACTTCAAATTACTGAAATAGTTACATTATACATATATAAAAAATTATATATATATATATATATATAATTGATATGAGAATTCTATCTAATATCTCAAAGTTTATATAATATACTAATTTAGGAGATTAAAAATATATAACTACTATATTCTATTAAAAAAAATTAAAAAGTTAGGAGGATCTGCCCCTGCTAATCCCCCTTTGTCTCCACACCTAATTATTCAATGATATTGCCAAATTTGAATTTAGAGAAAATTTGCAAAAAATTATGGAGAATGTTTTTCAGCAGTGAAAATTCACCACTGTATGAAGGAAAAGGAAAAATTATATATGATACATTAGGAGGGAGAAAAGCAAATTGTTATTGTGAAAGTGAAATATAAATTAAATTATAAATAAAAAATATATTTTTAAATTTGATTATAATGGTTGTTAAAACTTGATACATTTTAGGAAGTTATGATAAGGGTATTGGCATTCAAGGGCATGGTAGGTTTACAGTTTGCAAAGCAGATTTTTGCCAAACTGAATTGATTTTTGTCAAAAAGCTACTTGAACTTGTGATTACATAAATAATTTTTCATGTTGCATATTTTTTGTTTTGTAAACCGAGGTAGCCAAATAATTAACACATCATGAGTCTGCAACCTGCCATTGATAATAACAATTCTAGGTAACAAGTTCAAATTAACTAAATTTAATGTTCGTGTGATGCACAATATTTTAATCTATAAAAAATAAAAATAAAAATTTTACAAATGATTTTAGAGTACTTATAATTTAGAGTAAAATATGTTGTCCTCCCTTTATTTTACCTTACTTGTATTTTTTTATTTTTTTTATTTTTACAATTTATACAAATCTCTCTTAAAATTAATAGATAAGCGTTCCTTTTATTTTTAAGTTTTCACTTTCATTTATCCAATTGACAATTACATCACATGTATTGAGTTACAATGACTTTTTTAAATATAAATGTTATTCAAAAATTATTCATATTGTCCCAAAATGTTGAAATGATATATGCTTTTAAATTTTTATTCATTTTTAAAATTTAATAATTATAAAACTTATTTATTTATTATTTTAAAAAAAATTAAATATAGAAATTAGTTAAAATGATATTTCAAATACGTATGTAAGCAAAAATTAATGGAATATGATTTTTTTGGTTAATTAATGGAATATAATTAATATAATAAGAGATAGATCAGTCACCATAATTTATGCTTATTTTTATTTATAATTTATTATTTGGGTAAAATAATTTTAAATTATTTTTAAAACAATTAACTTTGTATTTTATTTTACAATCTATTATCCTATACATATAAAATTGAAAAGTAATAAATTATTTTATTTATAATTTGTTATTTTAAGTAAATTAAATTTTAAAATAAAACTCATCAGGTTATCTATGTACTTTTTGTACTTTGTCTAAATAAATTTTTAATTTTATTACATATTTAACACCTATATATAAGTTTTAGTAAGAATCTTACATCCTCCACCAATTTATTAGGGATCCCATATCTATATTTTTTTTGAACAAAATTTCTATTAATTATTTTTTAAAATCAAATTTAAAAAATAGAAAAACAGTATTTAAAACACTGAAAATATACACTATTTTGACGTACTTTATATATATATATATATATATATATATTGATATAGATTATATTGTCTAGTTTTAGTTCGTAATCTATTTGTACTGATCCTTTACTGTTGATATATTGTTCCGTCTTTCATTCAAAAAATACTAATAGCAGGCCATGAAATAAAAAAAAAAAGTATTTTGCTTGCAAAAGTAGAATGAAAGCGCAGCACAACTGACAAATTGCTAACAAAAAAGTAGTTAAAATTTCTAACTTCTTCAGGTAACGAAGACATTCCAAAATACAGAGACAGAAGCACGGACTAGTTACCTGATGTGCAAAAGAAGCACGGGGGGCCTTCGTCCCTTCATCGGGAACCTGCTTATATATATAAATAGATAGATAGATTTAAAAATATTACCAGTGTCCGGTGAGGCTATTATTTTATGCTGGATTGATTCTCCAACTGGAATGGAGCTATCTGCCTCTCCTTGTCTTTCGAAATGCCCTTCATTCCTACTCCCTAATTCTAGGGTTTCGGTTTTTTCGAGAAGTCTTTATCCTACTTCCACTTGTTTTCATCGCTCCGTCTTTTCGTTAAATCAATGTAATCTCGTTCGAATGGATCCTCTCAGAACTATCTCTTCTGCCGGCTGGGTGGAACGCAACGGTTCACCTGTAACGACTTCGTCAGTTGATTCAGGTCTGTCCGTAACTCTGTTTTTCTTCTTCGGATGATTTAAATTCGATCACTCATAATTTTTGGAATCCGTAAATGATTTCTTCGTAAGCCTGTTTGATCTTCAGGAGCTAGAATCGGAGAGGTGAGGAGGATCACCAAAGAAACTAATGTATCGGTCAAGATAAACCTGGATGGTTCTGGGGTTGCTGATAGTGCTACTGGAATTCCATTTCTTGATCATATGCTAGATGTCAGTAATTTCGACTTTTGTCTAGTTTTTATTTTCTTTTGTTTCTTTTCAATTCTTCTTTTCACAATCTGATTATAAATTAAGAGTTTTTCTTCTAATATGCTGGTTGAAATCTAACGTTATGGCTGTTTTGAAATCGAAATTGACGTGCGGAGTACCAGTTTGAAACTAAACTTGCTTGTGACTGTTCAGCAACTTGCTTCGCATGGGCTGTTCAATGTGCACGTGAGGGCAACTGGTGACATCCACATTGATGATCATCACACGAATGAAGATGTTGCTCTTGCCATTGGAACGGTAATGCCAACGTGCCAAATTCAAAATTTATTTTTTATTCAATAAAAATTTCTTTTAATTTTTTCACAAATCTCATATTTTCATTGGTAATAGGATTATAGGATAAACAGTAGCAAAATTTCAGATTGAAATTTGAATGAGTTGCTACTTGATTTAATTTGCTGACATCTGTTGCAAGGTTCTTTTGAAACTCTGAATTTCTGTTATCCTATGTTCAAGCTCTTACTAGTGCATTATCTCCTAATGAAGATCATGCAAGACTATTATACAAGCTTATTTGTGCATTTGGTTTCATCCATTCCGTGCACATGGCATCTAATCTTAAAACAGTAGGTCTTTGTGCATAGCTTGGAGTCTTTAAATCCGCAGTCATCTACCATCTCACTGAAATTAATAGTTTTATGTTACTTAACCTGCAGGCCATACTGCAGGCTCTTGGTGATAGGAAAGGTATAAATCGGTTTGGCGACTTTTCTGCTCCACTGGATGAAGCATTAATACATGTTTCCTTGGTGAGTTGAATATACCTTTTTTTATAAAGATTGCAGAGGAACATGGTGCGAAGTAGACTGCTTCCACACCTTATGTTAAATTGACTATGAAAACATTGATGTCATTACCTTGGTAAGATATCTATGGCTTTAACCATTATGTTTTAACCTGGTGAATAAAGATCCTTGACTCTAGCACAATGGGAGTTCCACGATCTAATATTGTCAGTCTCATTAATCCTAATTGTTTTATTATGCCATTCTATTACATTCAACCAAAATGTTATCACATTCACAAGCTTCATTTATAATTTTAATTTATGGTTTACAATAGCAATTTATCATATCCTTTTCAGGATTTATCTGGTCGACCACATCTAAGTTATAATTTGGATATACCCACTGAGAGAGTTGGAACATATGACACTCAGGTTGTACACTTCTCGTAGTATTTCATTTTTTTTAAAGTTTTCCTTCCTCATACATTATTTAACAACCACAGTGCCTTAGCTTCAAATTGATAGCCCACTAAATTGCTGGTTTAGTATACAGCTTGATCTAGCTAATAGATTGTTTAACTGTTATTTTTGCGGCACTTATTTCTTTTGCTTTGTGTGCTGATCTTATTTAATTCGGATACATTCTCTGGACTTCCTTATGTGTAGTTGGTGGAACACTTTTTCCAGTCTTTAGTGAATACTTCTGGCATGACACTTCACATTCGGCAGGTATTAATGCATAGAATTTTGATTTATCGTCTTATGTTGCTGCTATGAATGCATCGCTTTTATGAAAACATAAGGTTGTAGATATTATGTTAAATTTCTTTGCAATTACGTCATAGATGACTAAGTAGATAATTTTGTTTTACTTTATATATTCTAAATGCATTGATATTTCATATTTATTTGACCAAGAAAAAAAATGCATTGATCTTTCTGCTTATGCATTATAGGCTGTGGTTTATGCATATTGTACCTATTAGAAACTTAAGATGATTTATTTCCCAATTTCAAAAGTTTTTAGATGAATGAATGATTTCTTTCTTTTTTAACCTTTAATCTTTTTTTACGCAGCTTGCTGGGAAAAACTCTCATCATATTATCGAGGCAACTTTCAAAGCCTTTGCTAGAGCTCTTAAACAAGCAACAGAGTATGACCCACGTCGTCATGGGACTGTACCAAGGTGATATTTTTGAAACTGATATTTTAATTTATTTTTTTTCTAAGATGAGGAGTGATAAATTATATCGATTATATTACCTAGCTACTGTGCTTAGAAATGGTTTGCGGTTTCTCCTACTCCATAATGACAGGATATGATGATCTCTCTGCTCTAAGATCAGATGTTTAATTCCTTTTGTATTTTCAGATGATAGAATAAAGAATAATACTCTTTCCTTGCTAAAAAGAATGAAATAAATGATTATCTCTTGTTTTAAATCACTGATGCCGTTTGTCAACAGATGAAAACTGCAATTCCTGTTTGTCACTTATAATAATAAAAATTTCTTGGTTCAATGTATTTAACATTATATTTTCTTGATTTATCATGTATCAGGGCTTCTGTCCTGAAAAGAAAAAAGAAAAATCTTTTGAAAGATATATGTTAGCACTTGTCTTCATAATGGATAGTATTAGCTGGCATAATCATGATTTTGCTGGATTCATGCTTGTGTATCCATTTAGAGTTTTGCAGAAGTCATCAAGTCTTGTGTATTGTACATGGCACGAAGAACTTGTAATGTTCTCTGTTTTGTATGTGCAGTTCGAAAGGAGTTCTTTCTCGGAGTTGATTGTTGATATTTTTTATGCGTATGCGAAATTGGACCGAGCTTCCGATATTATTGGTTCTCACCGACAATGCCTAGGTGCATTGTGATAATAGGATCATTATAGTGGAGTGCTATTTAGTTGCTATAATAATACTTTTCAATTGGCAGGACCTGTCATTACAATAATCAAAGCATTTAACTACCGTCACGAGTCAATAGACAAAAGTTCTTAGATGAGCTCGGTAGGCCAAGTATCAAATATATTTTTTCAATATGTTTGTTCATTATAGGTTAAGTTTATTCATACCTATGTAAGAAACTTCTTGAACAATATCCTTCTGCCCTTTCCAATTGCCTAAATACTCTGGAACGGATTCCTTTGCCACATCAGCAGTCCTTCTGAACTTGGTGATGTCATTGAGGCTTTCATTTAAAGATTCATGCAGTGGTCACAACCTCTCTTGCTGAGAAGTAAGCCTTTGGCTATGCCCCTTGTTATATTGCAGAAGGCATATGATGTTACTCTGTACTACCACTGTGCTGGATTGATTCCTAGATTTAGTTTCTCAAATTATCGGTCTCGCATATGCTCACTGTCAAATCTTCTGATCACCATCTTGTATAAATCTCAGCAATGCTGAGCTACATTCAACGGGAACACCATGCAGCAACAATCTTTCCAGTCTTTGCTAATTTTTTCTCTCCTTTGTTTCATTAAGTCCTACTGCAGTAAGCACCAACTGGCACTCAATATTTTTCCTCCTTTTTTATTTATTTACGAACATTTTTGGGCATTTGTGTGCGTAGAGGTTTTTGACTTTTTGCAATATGATAGTGTATGGCTTCACAGGAATTTCGGATAGAGTTGTTACGAATAGTTTAGGATTTTCTCTAAGATTTTCTCAAGGGCAGCTTACGGTGCCAAAATGAAAAACCAAGCTATAAGGGGATTATTGTACGGAAAGGGGGAAAAAAAAAGTTTAGTGTTTAGAAGTAAGTGATATGCTTTGCTTGCCTAAGCAGCTCAGGAGCCTCCCCAGAATTAGGGAGAGTTGGGACATACTCCCTATGATGTGACCATAAAAAGCAAGGGTTAGATCTTCTAAAAATTAGCTAACAAATCTTACTTAATAACATTAAATAAGTTATTGCTGGAAGATGCTCATCACTTGTTACAATAAAATTTCAATTTTTGGCGAAAAAAGCTATACCCCAATTTATTTTTCTATTTCCAATTAGCAAGAAACCTGATGAAAATGGTTTATTTGAAAGTTAGGTGGTTTTAGCAAAAAATAAATAAATAAAACAAAAATGATGGCTTATGATATGAAAGGAATTCACAAGATGATTCTATGAGAGGGTGGGTGCAACTGCAAGAATGCATGTGCACTGGATTAGGTTGGGCATTATCTTAGAGCGTGTTTAGTTTAAAGGGAGAAGAGGGAAGAGATTTTATTGAAGGAGAAGGGAGTTTAATGTTATTTTGTTTGATTCAAGAGAAGAGAAGAGGGGAAGAAAAATAATTATATATAAATAATCTCGTCTTTATATTATTAAAATTGTTTTTCCTAATAAAATATAATTATAAATGTTTTTAACATGCAATTATAAATATATAGAATAATTATCATTGTTAAATATATTATTAAAAATTTACAATTGTTAAACTTGTTTAAAAAGATGAAGAGTAGTAATTAAAAGAAATATTTTAGTCATTATATAATAAAATTATATTCTTTCCCTCCCAATCCTCCCAATTTGGAGGGAAGGTCCTTCCCTCCATTTTTTCAAACCAAATGAGAGAAGGGGAGCAATATCCCTCCCCTTCCCCCAACCAAACAAACCCTAAGGGGTGTTTAGTTAGAAAGGAGATGAGGGATTTTGCTTTGTTCCTCTTGTTTAGTTTGAAAAATTGAAGGCTCCCCTCCAAATTAGGGAATTAAGAGGAGAGATGTAAAATTTGTCACACGGTGATCAATATGTCTTTTATGATAAGTTTAAAAAATGCATATACATATCTTTAATATCTCAATACTAATAAAATGAGAGTAAAGTTATTTATATATAATTATTTTTCCTCCCCTCTTCTCCTAACCCAAAGAAAATAACATTAAATCTCTTCAACTCTCTCTTCCCCTTCATTAAAATCTCTCTATTTTTCTCAAACTAAACACACTCTTAGGCCACTGCTTAGTACAAAGCATTCTTGACTTGATTTTTTGGCCCATCATGATATTGAATTAGAGATGGCTTGATAATAAACTTGAAAAAAAAGTATAAACTGTCAGATTTTTTATTCTCAATCATCCAAGCACGTATTTAAGAAATTATTATGAAGGTTGAGGAGATTATCATTAGAAAACCTCCTCCATAGTATAAGGATCTCATGAGGCTCGATCTAATCAGAAGTATGATAACCCATTAACCCTTGAGAGTTAATCTACTTTATTATTATTATTATTATTATTATTATTAAGGCTCTTCCTTCCAACGTATTTTTATTTTTTAAATGTCCCCATTCTAGACCTCAGGCTTGGCATGTGCCAAATATCAGTCAGGAGCCAAGAAAACTTTTCAAGAAATTGACTTGTGCATATGAGACCCTTGAGCGAAAAAGTTTTTACTTTGAAGTGTCCTTGCTCCAACAGAAACTTGTATATATTCTACCCCTCTCCAAAGCATTCGAACACTAACAACTCGATCAGACCACCCTACATGACCTTCATTACTACATACATACATATAATCAAACCGTAGGCCTTATCAGTGAATTCAATTAAATTTATAATCATCCGATTGATGACGTCTTTGGAAATGTGTTTAGGATTGTCTCGATGCGTCAGAAACCAAGATTTTGAGAGAAGCAGCTAGACTACTGATGTTTCCACTTGCCACCAAAGTCAAAGGTTTTGATGCATCTCGTCAACGCGTTTACATTCCTGTCTTAAATCCCATTAAGAAGGTGATAATTCATCACTCTTGATGTGGAGCAATCAACTTAATTGTTTCAATAGCCAACAAAGTAAGAGTAAGAGTAATCATGAAGCACTATAATGATGTGTGTGTGTGTGTGTGTGAACGGAGGCAAGCATGGCAACACAAGTAATCTTCGTGTCTGGTACATTTTCCTATTAATCATGCTTCCTTCGTAGTTATTTATCATAAGGCATTTTCGGCCTACTGGAATCCTAAAATGACAGTTAATTCATTAAATATATCTTAAAATAAAAAGTTTTTTCAACTTTACCCTATTAAAGATATGAATTCAAAAAATAAAAATAATTTTTCTTGAATTTGGTGCATTCTCTCATGGGGTAAAATTCAAAATCGGTCATTTTATGACATTTCATGTATCCTATATTAATGATAGAAGGATCTTTCTAAATGATGTCTTATAATAGAAACAGGCTCATTAGTAGTCTTCCTATGAATAATTTGCTAAACCAAAACTTCGACGTAGAACACCCCCCTCCAAAAAAAAAAAAAAAAAATGCCCCTTGACTTCCACGTTTTAAGTCCTCTGATAAAAAGATGAGGCAGAACTTGAGAGTGAATTAATTCAAGCAAAGATTTTCGTGAATATCCTGTTTCTCTATGAATATATTTATCTTCTTGGTCCTCTGTAACCGATATGACATGTATCTTATAGATATCGACTACCTTTTGTTTATACAAATTAATATATCTCAATTTATAAAATAATTTTAGAAGTGATTTGACATTCAAAAATATAAGACAATTTAATAAAAAAAATTATTAAATATTTTTTTTAATATTACTCTTTCTTTCTTATTAAATTAAATATATCTTTTAAATATAAGACAAATTTTAAATTTTATTTTTATTTAAAAATAAAATTGTAAAATAAAATTGATATTGGTATGTATAATTTTATATAAAATTGTCTTAAGAAGAGGTATTATTATCAAAAATCCTCATCATTATATTGCATTTGACCAACGTACCTCTGACATTGAGTAAGAGTTGTTTTATGGATTTACACAATAAATGGAAGATGCAGCATGTGACCATCCAAACTAAACCTACAAATGATCAAATGCATCTATTTCATATGTAAGCAAGCATACATATCTAACTCACATGGTCTTTAAATACCTTTTGTTGACTTGCAAACCCAACAAACTCCAATTCCTCCAAAGAACTCGTCATTATTGAGGTCCCTGGAAGACACTATCTTTTCTTATTACAAGCGGTAGCATGTGGGATCGAACTTAAGATCTCATGTCAACAAGGATGATCGAGCAACATACTGTTAGGTCAAAAGAGCTTTTAACAATCAAGTGAGTGTGGCACAAATGATAGTATTTTAGGTATTTTAAGTATGTATGTGTAGAAAAACATCTTTTAACAAATTTTGTTGATCCTTATTAATTACAAGCTTACTTGCAACCATAGAGTCCATCCAATCACGACGACCATGTGGAGCAAAGGTTTCCAAGGAAAACAAGATGATTACTTCTATGGATGGATAAGAAATTTTGTCAACTGAAAGTATGAGAGAGAAGAACCTCATTAATTACAATGTTACGTGAATGAATGAGTTTAAATATCAAGAAAAAATGGCACCTGACTGTAAATATTATCTGAAATGAAATATCACCTCATCATTAATTAACAATGTTAAATTTTGTTATTTAAACTTATACACATTAACTATACTAATAGTTTAATTAATCGTAATATGGTGGAGACAACCACTGATTTTCCTAAGAGAATGAATATAGTATGCCTCAATTAGGACGCTCGATGGATTGAAATTGAATAGTCAATGTAAAATGAATTAATAGAAAATCCCATCTGTCATAGACTCAGTATGTATGCATGCACGCGCGTGCAGACACACACATACTCTCTTCACAAGGGATTAATGATACAAAATTAATTATAAATTGTAACTGTAATTAGGACAACTATATTTTTTAAATTTGACTCAATTTTAAAATGTTTGTTTGAAAATTCATGCCAAAACCAGTTTTAATTAGGCTGATGAGTTCTGAATAGTCTAAATTTTATTTTTATTAAAATAAAAATTATAAAAATATTAATAAATTTATTTTTATCAATAATCTGGACGATAGATATTTAATATTGATGTCCAATTTAATATTAACATTTTTTAAAATTTTTATAAATTAATTATTTAAATATATTTTGGACAGTCTAAATTTAAAATCTGTAACTCATGACTTTTTTTAAAAAAATATTTTTTTGAAAGTACTAATTTGGAGACTATCTTTAATTTTAGTATTCATATTTATGAAATAAAAATTTAATATTAAATTTAAATTATTCATAATATATGTGGATAGTTAATTTATAAAATTTTTAATATTTAATTAAATTATTTAAATTAATTTTTTTAAAATTTGTATAATTTCATTCTATTAAAATCTGGACGGCCGATGAACCCTGGCTGCTTTCCTCATTCCAATGTTCAATGAAGTCGTGCCCTATGGATTACTTGAAGCAATTCATAAAAGATTTCGCGGCAAGGTCATGAAATTGAAGATAACAAATCACGATCAGCATTTATGGGTCTACGATGTTACAGCATAAGACAGCTAATTTAATTTTCTGAAAATCAATCTAATCAAACCCGCGGCAAGGTCATGGAATAGAAGATAACAAATCACGTTCAGTATTCATGAGCTTTTATTTTTATTTACTATTTTAAGAATTTATATTTTATAAAATAATAAAAATAATAAAATAAATTTTTTTTATTTCTTATTTTAAAAGATAATAATTTCAGAACATCTAAAAACTGTTTTGATTTTTTTATTCCTTAAAACAGTATTTTATTTTTTCAAATATTTTTTAAAAATGTGTTAATGAATAATTTTTTTATTTTCTTATTTTAAAGAACAGAAAACTATTTTCACAAATAACATATGAAAATAGTTCTATAGTAGTTTTGTTTCAACCTCAATTCATGATTTAATAATTGATTGCCATTAAACATTGGGTATTATAATTTATAATTATTTAGTTTTAGTAACTCCCTTGATGATACGCTGTAGGAAACCCTAATCAGCCTAGACATTTGTAATTGAATTGATGACTAACGTGCCGTGCATTGAAGTATAATCTCTGTACTGTGTGTCTTTTTGACTTCTATATTACGGTAAACTAATCATCATTTGAGTCTCAGATGAACTAAAACTATATATAATAAAAAATCACAAATCCAATAACTTCCATATATATTATTTTCTCTGATATCCGCGTGTGATATTTTTTCTAATCCTGGAAACCCGTGGAAATTATGAAAGCTGTAGGTTTGTATAGTTTAGAGGAAGAATGGCCTTTACGTGGATTATTAGCATTTTAGTCTTTACACTTCCAAAAAAAAATTTGTTGACAGTGTATCAAATACAGTCGTCAGTGCATTATTTTAAGAGATCGAAGTGTGAATAGTTTAATTTCCTCATAATATAGTCTCCCAAACGTCACTCTCAATCACTTAAATGAAACGATATGATGTTACTGTTTAAGATTTGTCTTCCAAATTCTCACAGTGGTCTTTAGTTTTTGAAAACCTCCGACATAGGTAAACTGTTTTGGAATTAATGTTGTTTTCCTTTTAAAAACAAATTGGTAGATCGATGTTATACAAGAAACCACCTGCTTCCCGTCGCTTCTTCTTCTTCTTCTCCTTCTTTTTTTTTTTTTTTTGGGCGGAGTGGTGACACTCCTTTCGTTTTTATATATAAAACAGAAAAACTATATTATATAGTTTGAAGAAGTCAATTAATCATAATAATTATATTAAAAAATAAAAAAATTGAATTAAAATGCCCATGTTAACCAACATAAACATACATTAATTATTTTTTATTAATGTAAATTATGAGGGGTGATTTAAAAAATATGTAATAAATGTTTATTGAAATGAGTGATTTTATTTATGTAAAAAATAATAAAAAATATAGAGAGTATGTGCTAAGCCTGACCCTACATTAATCTGGTAGAATTTTAAGGGCCCATAGCAGTCTAAACTGAGCTATAATAGAACCCTTTTTGATTTATTGTCACAACTTATGTTTAGATAGAAGAGAACCTGTAAGGTTGTCGAGTTTTTGGAGACCTTCAGGATAACGGAGAGAATTTCAAAACTTTCAAGAAGGATCAATATGTTCTAAAATGTTCTAGAAGCACCTAAAACAATCTAGAATGATCTAGAAAGATCTAAAAGTTTTTAGAATGTTCTAAAAACTTATGAAAGAATATGGAGGTGTCTAAAATATTTTAGGATGTTCTACAACATTCCGCACATATTTTGAAGGTTAGTCCCTAGAAATATCCTTGTAAATATCTAGATATTTGTTATAGATATTATTATAAAATATTCTAGATGATGAATGTAAACCGCTAGGATTGGATTGATTTCACCATCTATTAAGGAGGTCAAAAAACTCTAGAATAAAGAGAAAGTTTATAAATACCCCTCAGCCCTCATTTGTAAGGAAGACAAGCCCTCATTTGTAAGGAAGACAAGTAAGCATATCAATAAGGCTTTTAAGTTCTCTCATCCAAGCTCTCTTTCTCTTGTGTTCAAGTTTTTTAGTTTCTTTGTCTACATTTCGAGGGTTCGACTGACTTAGCAAGCATCAACTTAGCAAACATCAAGAAGTTAATCACGCAAAGGCTAGCACAGTCTAAGGACTGAGGAGTTTCAAGGCTGTGACAATATGCTTTGTTACCAATGTTGTTGCATTCTCACTATTTAAATTCAAGTCTTCTAATTAAGTTAATATAACTCCCTTACTAATCAATCGAATGTCCAATAAAGAATATAATCTCTTAACTATCTACAACCACCTATGTCTGTGTACATTTCTTCTTATGTTTAGATATAAAACATAGAAGACACGTGTGCATCCTCGATTGAGATCGATTTACAAGTCTAGCTATAAAAGCAGTGAGATTGTTACTATGTGAAGAAAAAGAAGAAGTCCATTAATAATACATATGAGTTACTAATTATAGTGCGTCTAAACCAAAGTCTATGCATATATTAAAAGAAAAAAGGGGAGGAGTGTCTAGTTTCATCAACAATAGAATGAACAACCTAATGCAAATAATTTTTTGAACTTTTAAATTGGCATGCAAATATCCTCTTAAAATTGAAATTCTCAAACATATACTGTAACAAATAATAAGAATGATCTATATAAACTTGAAAAAGATAAACAAATAAATTATCAAATATTCAAAACTTGAATAATATTAAATGACTAAAATATTCCACCCATCAAAAATAAATAAATGATTAAAAGATTAACCATATCACACACATCTCCACAATAGGTTAGGTACAGTTTATTCTACAAACAAACTTATATTCGCTGCTTTGCCATCCTAGGGTAAGAAAGGCTTGAAGGCCTTCACCAACTTCATGATTTTATCAGCAAACGACGTCGTACACGACACAGTTCCATCGTTCCCAGCTAAAACCCTGTACTTATCCTTCCTCGTGAAGTTGGTGCACTCAAACCCCAACGTCGCCGCCAGTATCCTCTGCACATAGTTCGCCACGTCGTGTGGGTTCTTCCCCGCCGAACACGTCGCATCCATCGGCAACTGGTTCAAGAACGTCACCTCGTACATCGGCCTCGGGTTCATGAAGAAGAAAATCGGGTCCAGTCCTTTCCAGCCCCTCGCCGTCGTCGCATGGAAGAACCCTACCCTGTAGTTCATCGCCACCGGCACTATCCTGTCGGTTAGTTCGGCGAACAGTGCACTGAACCTCAGAAGAAACGGTTCACGGCAGGTCGTTCCTTCAGGGCACACCACTAAATCCCCTTTGGATAGTTCGAGCTTTATCCTTTCGGCGTCTACGTGTCGTGTCCTCGTGAGCCTAACGGTGGGGATCGGAGAGAGGATCTCCGATAGTCGGGAAATGGAGTACGTGACTGCCGGAATCTTGCGCTGGAGGACAGAGGAGAGGACGACGGGGTCCATGAGGGTTCGATGAGTACAAACGAAGAGAACGCCGGAGTTGCCAGGAGCGACAGGAGGCGGCGGCTTTCCTTTGACGATGACCTTGCCGCCGAAGAGGCCTGAGATGTAGGGAACTGCCCAGAAGGGCAATATCAGGCCTACCATGATGCGTATTGCGGCGAGAAGAATGCCCAGAGGCATCCACAGGAGGATTAGTAAGGCGGTGGAAGGCGTCGGTCGCTTCACCAGACGGCCGTCATGGAATATCACCGGCAGAGGGCGGAGGAACTCGCGGTCGTGCTTTTCGTTCGCCATTAAAGGCCGTTGCATTTGTTCCTGCGCATGTGTCAAGCATATATATGTGTGTCAACTTTCTTAATTGTTCACTTAATGTAAGTTTAATTTCTAATAATTAGTATATGTCTGATGTGATTTTAAAAAAAGTTTGTATATACGTAAGAAACATGTGAATTTCATTAAAGTGATCAAAAGTCAGTCTTAAACTTAATTACCTTGCATAGTGGCAAGAAGGAGCCACAAGGACCAGTTCTTCTTCCCAAACCCAAAGTTGGTGCTGCGTCCTGGAAAACCATAGCAACCCTTTCACACAGCCTATCCAGCGAACCGGCTTGAACCAAACCGGTGGCGAACCCGAACCGGCTGATCCAGAGCTCACTTCCGATCACCTCATCAGCACGCAGATGCTCCTTCACGAACCTCTCCACCATAACCCTAGGCATCTTCGTCACTACCACCCTCTTCTCGCAGGAACTAAACACCTTCCACGCCTCCATGTCAAGATCGTCCATCAAGAACTTGGGCAACACGGCTCTCGCCACCGACTCTAACTCCGACTCCGAAACGCCAGCCGTCGCCACAAAGATCATCAGCTTCAGGCCTAAGTCCTCCAGACCGAGTAATCCAAGGAGCAGAATCACAGGCCATAGAAGAAGAAGCAGCGCGAATCGGATCAAACCGGACGCCTCGAAAGCCACTAGCATGAAGTAGGAGAAGGGATCGGAATCCTTCAGAAGCGTGCCTTCTAGCTCAGAGACAACGGACTCCATTGTTACGGATATGATATACGTGCTTTGATTTTGCTGTTTCTCTCTGTGTTGCTGGGAATAATTTCGTAGGTGTGGTGTTAATTATGAAGGAAACATATATATCATGATATCTATGGGATTAAGAAGGCGTTGTTGTTGTTTTTTTTTTTTTTCGCCGGACTTTTTCATATGCTTATGTGTGGGATTGAGGCCGTTTATCTGTTTACAACTACCACTTTTATATACACACACGCGCACACCGTTTGGCTGCTTTTTCTTTAATTAATTTATTTTGCTTCTTTAATTTAATTTGTCTTTCTTGTTATGGTTTCTATATGTGGGTTTGGGTGGGTATATCGGTGAAGAAAGAGGATTATACGCCACGTTTTGTAAGAAAAAATATTGATTACTTAACTCCAACAACTTGGCCTCAACTTGTGCGCATATATACATAAAAATTACATAATACTAGTATACGCATATGCTCACCAAAAAAGACTTGTTAGTGTAACTTTTGAAGTCTGCTTCTTCTCCAACAACCTATATAACGCACGAAGAAAATTAATTAATATGCAGGAATTATTTTGATAGTAAGCTCCAGTACCATTATATTTATCAATTGGTATACACGGATGTCAATTTTACGGCTTAATAATAATGTAAAGAATATTGTAATTAGTAGCGTTTATAAGGATAAGGGCGTAAGTATCGTCCTATGAGTCTACGATGTGATGTGATGTGATGTGATGTGCTTGTTTGTTGAAATTCAGTGATAGACCGATATAGTATATTGATAGTTTGTGCCGAATGTCAGTTAAAAAAATGTGCTAGACAAGACATTGCTCAAACCATAGTTGTTCGTCTTTGGAGATCACGTTGGGCTTTCTTAAAGTAAATTATTTAAATACTCCATCGTTTTATTATATTTATTTTTAAAAAAATTATTTAATATTACATGTCTTTTCAAAATTCTAAAACAATGTTTAGTATTTTTTTCTATTTCATTCTTGAAGTATAATTTTTTATTTAATGTTATAATATAAAAAAATATAATTATTAATTCTTATAATTTTATTAAATTTTACTTTTAATCTCTATAATTTTTTCAGCATTTTCAGACTTTATAAAAATTAAAAACATTAAAACTATAAAGATTTAAGCAATGAACATCACCTAAATTTAAGTAAAATTTGATGAAATTATGAAAATCATAATTATGTTTTCTCAATAATATTTTTAGATTATTAGCTTAACGGTAAAATTGATAAAATATATCAAATTTTTATATATTTATTATATTTTTTTAGGAATAAGGCAGCTTTTAATTCCTATTATTTGACAATTATCGATATAGTTTTTCAAGTTTAATTTCTATCATGTTATTATCAAGTTAGTACTCTTAGTTTTGCAAAACAAATTATCCTTAAAAAAGGTTAATGTTTCCTAGCCTTAATTGCTCGTGTGCTATTAATTTTACTATTTTTTAATTCTTACTTTAATCTACTTGACTTTTTTTTCTTTAATCTGCGTGACTTTTTTCTTGAATATGTTACTTTTTTTTTTTCCTTAGCCAAGTCAGAATTTCTTGCCTCCCGCATTATTAATAAGTTACATGGGCGCCACATCATCACTTTGTTAGTCATGTTAGTGTAATTTAGGTCGTTATTTTTTCTCATAATATTAAGGACTACTTAGATAATTTATAAATTAACTTTAAGCATACTGGAAATATAAAAATCAAACTTAAAAAATTAAATTGATAACTTCTCACAATATAGGGGACTAAAGGCCTGTTTTGTATATCACTTTTTTTAAAAAAATTGTTTCGCAATTTAAATTTTTAACTTTTTTTTCAAAACAAAATAAAAGGAGAATCTGTTTGATTGTTTTAGGATCCGTTTGGTTTTCCTCCGTTTCACGTTCAGAAAGCAAAATTTCACTTTCAGAAAGTTAAAAGTTGTTTGGGTAGAATATTTAGCAGAAAAGCACATCCTGAAAGTACATTCAAACAGTAGCTGAAAGTGAATTTCTGAAACGTAACTATTTGAAGCTTTTGAAGAGTGAATTTGAAAAGTAGGATGTTATTTGACCATACTAGCCTAAGTTTAATCTCTTTTTTTATTTAAAAATAGTTAATTCTAAAAATATAATTATTATTTTAATAATAATAACTAGGTATCAATTTTTTTAGTATTATAAATTGAGTAATTAATCATGTTAATTTTTAGCATTAATGTATAATAAAAATTACAAATCTTTATTACATCTTTTAAAATTACAAATTAAAAAATACAAATAATTAGAGATCAAATTTTTAGCATTATAGATCAAAATTTATGTTATTTATAATCTTTATTACATTTTTTAAATATTTTGAATATATTACATTTGTATAATAAAAATTATAAATCATTATAAATCAATGTCTTTTTTGGTAATTGTACATTCAAAAGCACATCTCACTGTCACAAACCAAACAACTTTCAATAAATCAAACTGACTTTTGAAAAAATATATTCAAACACAAATTTCGTTACAACAACTGACTTTCATTAAACTGACTTTCACCAAATAAACTTTTACCAAATGAACTTTTGGCAAACTGAAAACCAAACGCACACTTAATTTAAAAATAGTCAATAGTAATGATTACCAAATTAATGGTAGTGATTTATGACAGCAATAAATCAATGTGACTGTAATTTTTAATACTTAAGTATAATGTATTTTAAAAATAAAAAAATAAAATATAAATTGTTTTAAGATGTTTTTGATTTTTTTGTTTTTAAAACAAAAATTGAAAACAATCTTAAAATAATTAAATTCAAAATACTTATCCAAACAACTTTTTTTTAAAAAAAACTGTTTTTAAAAACAGAAAATGAACATGCTCTGAAGTTGCATTATCCCTGTTTTTTTTAATACACATGCAATAACTTTAAAAGATAAATATAATGAACACATAAATTGTGTAATAGTAAATGTTAATTCATTAAACACATCCAAGTGATGTTTTGAAAAGTCCTAACTACCTAACGAATATATGGAAGTCGAAACAAAAAAAAAAAAAAAAAACTGTACCTAGGTAACTTGGGCGATAATATTGGATTTTCCCGTACTAGAGTAGTTCTGGAAAGTGCAAAAGGGATTGTAATTTTTTAGTAAATTACTACTAAATGATATGATATTTAATATTAATTTGTAAGAAATTTATCAATAAATTCTTTCAAGAAGTTTTAATTTCAAGTAGTTTTAGTTATTTTTTAAAATAATAATAATATAGAAATATATAATTTTGATCATTATCATAAAAGGAGATATATAATAATCATTCTATGCTGCTGGGACCATTGCTCCTACCAAGCGAAGTTTCTTTTCCTTGGGTTATTAATTGTTATTATTAATATTCAACTAAGTGAAGCATTTTTCAATACAAGATCACAAGAAAATTGTGTAGTGGGACAAATTAGATCATATCAAAATCTAAAAAGAATATGCACCCTAGAGATGGGTCTTCAAAAATTATTGTGTCTAAACTATCATCATTGACACAATGAACGTACGAGACAATAAATACAGTTTTGCTTCTCTGAATACATGATTGAAATTGATTGTCTAATCTCTTAATTATACTAAAATTCTTGATTTTGTTGATAGTTGAATATGATATTTAAAAAAATTATGTTGGATAATTCAACATCAGAATTTCCAGAGTTTGAGTAAATGTTTACTTTGTTGAACTTGCTGTTTCAACAAACCTTGAGTTCTTTGAGAATGTCCAAAAGTTATTATTATTATTAGAGTCCCAAAGTGCATTCATGCACTACCCTTTTTAATCAGACACAGAATATACGCTTTTATATTATCCTTTCTTCATCCAATTAATTGACTCACACACACATTCATCTGTATGATGTGATCTCGCTCGACAATGGCGACCGTGACGTTTTCCTTTCGTACGTGTAAATAATGCCCTTGAAGCATTACGGTAGTAAGTTCTAAGTATAGATTTAGAGGCATTGTTGGATTACATTCTAAGACTTTGTTCCTAGTAATTACATTCTAAGACTTTATTTGTTACTTGAAATCAAACTACTTCATTTAATTAATTTTCAAGCTTACAAAATTGTACATATCACTTACGTGTAGTGTATCAATAATTGCATCATCTCATTAATTGGTCTTTACTGTGGTTGCGTCTTGTTCCAATGTGGCTTCGATGGCAACTTTTAAATAAATGGTATGCCTTCTAGAATGGGTGAAAATAATGTGATTCTCTATAAAATATAGGGTTAGGGTTATTTTCTCAAATATATATACCCTCAGGCCAGCTCATCTAATTATCAAAGCATCAAATCCTCCTCGTATAATTATTAAAAAATGTGGGGTCATTTGATAAAACTAAATTTTGAATATGTGTGCTTCACATGTGTGCTTCACATAAATTTTCATATACGTGTGTAGGTTTTAAAATCCTAGAGAACATAATCCTGTTTTTGCTAGATTGAAATAACTAATAAACATGCAACACTAGTCTCAAGTTTTAATTATATTTGAAAAAACATATTTTAAGTCCTTGTATTTTGTCTGCATTTTGTTATAGGTTTTTACACTTTTTTTATATTTTAGGTCCCTCCAAATTATCAAAAAATAAAAGTATAGGAACATAAAATACTAAAAAAAATGTGGGAATAAAAAATAAAGAATTTAAATTATTTTTTATTATATTTTATCTTCCGTTGTAGATATTAAGATTGAAAAGAAAAACAAGAAGAAGAAGAAGCTTTCACGAACAAGAAAGATGTTAATTAGTCAAAAGTGTACTTGATAACCTTGTTGGCGCCCTCTATATGCATTCACAAATAATCCAGCAAGATTGACAAGATTTATACCAAACGTTATTTCAAAATTGAAAAACTTCCAAAAAAAACAAGAAAATTGTACCAGACAAAATTGGTCGCAAATCCTACATCACAATTTGCATTAATTTGAGATGGAAACATTAATTTTGACGGAAAAAAAAAGAAAATTGTAGCCAAACAATGAATTGATCTGTACCCTGTTCATAAATACTAATTTGTCGTTTTTTCTTCTTCTTTTTTCCTTGTGGATATTTTTTTATTAAAGGTAATCATGCTCAAGATACGATTAAACAGTAAATGTAGATATTTTTTTTAAGGAGGATTTAAATCTTAGTTTATTAT